CTGGTCCTGGTCTACAACCTCACCTCCTCTCCCCTGGTTCTGGTCTCCATCCTCATCTCCTCTCCTCTGGTTCTGGTCTCCATCCACACCTCCTCTCCTCTGGTCCTGGTCTCCATCCTCATCTCCTCCACTCTGGTCCTGGTCTGTATCCTCACCTTTTCTCCTCTGGTCCCAGTCTCCATCCCCACCTCCTTTTCTTTAGTCCTGGTCTCCACATTCACCTCCTCCTCCTCTTATTCTTCTTGTTTTTTTTTTCTTTTTTTTGAGACAGACTCTTACTCTGTTACCCAGGCTGGAGTACAGTGGCATGATCTTTGCTCACCTCAACCCCTGTCTCTTGGGTTCAAGCAATTCCGTTGCCTCAGCTTCGTGAGTAGCTGCGACTATAGGCATGCACCATCATGCCTGGCTATTTTTTTTATTTTTAGTAGAGATAAGGTTTCACCATGTTAGCCAGGCTGGTTTCGAACTCTTGACCTTAGGCCTCACCTCCTCTCCTCCAGCCCTCGTCTCCATCCTCAACTCCTCTCCTCTGGTCCTGGTCTCTATACTCACCTTAGCTCCTCTGGTCTCACTCTCTATCCTCACCTCCTCTCCTCAAGTACCAGTCTCCATCCTCACCTCCTCTCCCCTGGTCCTGGTCTCCATCCTCACCTCCTCTCCCCTGGTCCTGGTCCCCATCCTCACCTCCTCTCCTCTGGTCCTGGTCTCTATACTCACCTTATCTCCTCTGGTCTCACTCTCTATCCTCACCTCCTCTCCTCAAGTGCCAGTCTCCATCCTTACCTTCTCTCCTCTGATCTTGGTCTCTATCCTCACCTCCTCTCTCCAGTCCCAGTCTTCATCCTTACCCCCTCTGCTCTGGTTTTGGTCTCTATCCTCATCTCCTCTCCTCTGGTACTGGTCTCCATCCTCACCTCCTCTTCTCATGTCCCAGTCTCTATCCTCACCTCCTCTCCTCTGGTCTCATTCTCCATCCTCACCTCCTCTCCTCCAGGTCTCCATTCTTATTGCCACTCCTCTGGTTCTGGTCCTTGGGACCCCTTCACTGGAGCACTGGACTGCTCTTGAACAGATATCTTTTCTTCCTGTCTTTCTCCACTTCCCCAACCTGTCTTCCAGGTACTGCTGGGTTAACCTCCCTCGAGCATGTCTGATCATCTCACCACCTGCTCAAAGAACTCAGAGCCCCCTCCCCACTTCCATTTGTTACAAAAGTTGTGGGATGCTCTGAAAGGTTTTTATAACAAAACCCCTAGTTTGTTGCTGAAAGGGATGAATCAAACTTCACTTTATTTTTTAAAAATTTTCTAGCAATTCCAGAAGAAATAGCTTCAAAACTGCTAAATGATACCTTATTTTCAAGGACTTTTAACTGAGGATTCGGTTTAGTTCAGACTTATCATAAGTGCTTCCTTTATGCCTGGCTAGTTTGAACTAAATCGAATTCTCTGTTAAAAGTCCTAGAAAATAAGGTATCATTTAGTGGTTTCACAGCTATTTCCTCTGGAATCACTAGGAAGTTTAAAAAAAATGTGGTCAGATTCATCCCTACCTACCAACAAACTAGGGTTTGTGGCATGAAAACACTTCAGATACCCCTCACAACTTCTGGTCCAATCCAGACTCCATTCTTGTTTAGTTTGAAAGTAAACACAAACGTAATGAAAAGAGATGGCTCAGCCTTCACTCAGGGAACCAACCTAAATATAACCATAGAACTCAGCAGCCCGCTGGCTCATTACTGCAGCAGTTAGACACGCTGCAGGACAAAGCATATCTGCTGAAAAACAACTAAAATTAGAATGCTATCATTCAGTCTAAAAGCTGGAGTCATGAGATATTCAAGAACAAGGCTTCAGGGTACCACGAGAAGGTGGGGAGGAAGAAGGCACATAGCGTGTTGCACAGTCAGCAGTAGAGACTCCTTGTCTGGTCTTATCTCCAATCTAAAAGCTGTTTTGCCTTTTTAGAATGTCAGGGGTTAGTGAGCCTTACTTATTGACAAGCTCAGTTATCAGAATCAAACTGGGAGGGCAGAAACGTTCTGAGGATTGGGGGCGGTTGACATTTTTTCAAAAGGTCTACCAATGATGCTCAACAGGCTTAGGCTTCACGACTGCACAGATCGGTGCGATGATTCATAGCACTTGTAGCTAACATGTAGTGAGCACCTCCATGTGCCAGGAATCAGACTGAGCACTTCACCTGTCTTAACTTTCTTAGGCTTCCATCACCAAGTGTTTATTGAGAGTACATGCATTACATGCCCATCACTGTTTTAGGAATTGGAAAGATGGAAATGAATGAGACAAGTATGGGACCAACCTCTTGGGGTTTGTAAAATAGTATGGAAGAAGATATTAAACAAGTGTGACAAATGTGGCAATTACATATAAGAAGGACAGGGTGTTTAAGCAGACAAACAAGTCCCTCGTCTAGTGTAGGGTTAAAGGAAGGCTCCCAGCTGCAGGAACAAAACCCAGGGCTGAGTAGATGTCATTTACATGAAGAGTTTCCAGGAGAGGAAGGAGCACACTAGGGACTGGCTTCCTAGGAAGGATTTCTTTCACCACAGAGGCTGCTCAGGTCTCATTCAAGACCTGAGATAGTACAAAGATTCCCTGACTGGATGTGTCATTGCGAGTATGTCTTTCTTGAGATAGTTTGGAAGTTCTGGGAAGAAGTATGGAGGTGAGGTATGTACAAAAGGAGGTGAGGCTGTAGTGATTTTTCCCAAGCTCAAGAATCCCTGGGATAACCTTGCCTTACCAAGCAAACAGAATCAGATGTTTGAGATCCTGGGTTTCCTTCCTTTCTCTTTATTCCTCCCTCCCTCCTATCCCACTCCTTAAAAAGGACTCGGAACTACATCTAGCTAAATGTTTTAGAAACTGCTTAGTGAGG